AACCAGGGTAGTGGCAACTTAAAGTATCGCAACATAACAAAACGCCCCTTTGTGCACTACACCACATGTTAAATATTGCTGTGTTTTTCGTGAAATCCGAGTGTTAAACCATTAGTCTAATGAAGGTGTACCATTTTTAAAAAGTTGTTTTGTTAAAGATCTCGGTAATCCGATGCTGAAACGTTTCTCAGATGTGACAAATTTTCCAAATTCCCAATTTCACTAAGTTTGCAACTTCATTAATATTGCTTTAGAATACACTGAGTCATACTAAAGACTATCCTCCTCCAAGTCTTTGGCCAACGCATAGAGCACTGTAGAAATTTCTGGGAATTTTGTATTGGTCTTTATCTGTTATCAATTGTAAATGCTTAATTTAATTGACAGGTGGATGTGATTTATCGCTCTTTCTGTGTAGTTAAAAGAGATGAATTTTTATTTTTCCTGGTATCTTAGTTAATTAATGTCTGATAAGAAATTGTTTAGTAAAATTATTCGACCTATATTATTTTGGTCTATTAAGTAGGGGGGATATTTTCTGTTGTCAACTGTGTATAATTGGTTGTTATAATTTTGATTTTCGGAAGAAGGGTGTTCACTTTAAATATGACGTGAAGAGGAAGAGCGTCGCTTTATTCCACGTTTAGTCATAGCCATAGTGCGAACGAACGAAAAACTACGTTTGTTGGAAGTTTGAAGTCAGTTTTTTGCTACGTGCAGCATCGAACTACATACTTTCGTTGAGGAATTTATTTCGTTTCTTGCGAGTTACATCGTGGATTTTTTTTCTGTGTTGAAGCGACAGCCAGCATTGAAAGTTTCGTCTAGTGGGAGTTTGAAGATAGAAGTTTCGTTTGCGTAGCCGGAAGCCGAAATCGCGGCTAATTACTGTCCATCAAAGGTGTTTTTTTTCAAGAAGAGGTGTTTGTCGGCGCCCGCATAAGTTTGTTGTACAACGTGACTCATTTTGAAGTTTAGTTTGTTTTTTATTGGAACGTCCTTGTCTACCCAAGGGTAGATGGGTAGATGGGTAATCTACCCGGTTGTCAGTGTAAAGTGTAGTAATTTGTGTTGATAATTGAAAATTGTTTTTGTGTACAGATACCTTTTTATTTGGATTACAATTCCCGGACATGTACTATAAGTAATTAAGTCTTAATTTTTGGTTTTTTTTTGTAATAATTGTTTGTGTGTGTACCATTTTCCTTGTGTGTGTTACGATTAAATTGCACTTTTGTCATTCTCACATTAATTTTCCGTATGTTTTATTCTAACGACTTCATTTCTAATTTATCTGTGTTTTCATTGGAGGCTTGCCCAAGGTTCATTTTAATTATTCAAAATTTTGCAGTTCAGTTTGGAGTTTAAGGTATTTGGTCTAACCCACTATCTGTTAGAAGTTAACAGGTTAACTGAGAGCAGAGTCGAATCTCTCCTCCGTATTGGGGAGGAGTTTTGTGCTGGGATAATACGTGAAGGTAAAGAGCTAGCTAGGTTTTTGTTTTGGTGTTTTGTGTATGGTCTTTCTGGCCTACGGACCAGCGCACACAGCAATATATTATAATTTTTACATTTATACATTCCAATTATTATAATTCATGTATATTTTACGCCAAATGGCACAAAAAAATAAATTAACCAATGCTTAGCGTAAACTGCAACATTGACAAATTAATACTTGTGAAACGAACAAAAAAAATTTCTGGAGCTCCTGGGCTCGAAGGACTAAAAATGAATAAGGTAAGGTTTAAAAAAATTGCCGGAGCTCCCTAATTTTTGTGAGACCAAAGAAATAAAAATACTACAGAGTTAAGGAAATGCAATATATTCAAAATAATTACAACGTAAAATATATGTGAGCAAAATTTTCAGCGGCGGTTTGTTGTCTGGGGTATGGGACCTATAGCATGGTGACAATTGGAGTTGCAGAGTTGAATGACGGCAATGGTTTTTTGTTTACAATTAATTAAAGTTACCATTGGTACCGATAACGTTTGTGTTCCTTGTTATTTTTCTTAGACCCTTTTTTCCATCTCTCAATAACTTTACTCTCCGAATAAATTCCTTGGATACCATTGTCGATACAATCGTTGTCACGGTACTTATCTACCGAATAGAGCGATGGAAAAACTGACCCTTAGAGAGTTATTATTAATTACCAATGCGGAAGGTTAAGTCTTTTAAGCAGGAATTTCAGCGTACATTCAGTGAGACTAATTGCGTTGCCGAACATACCGGAGCCAGTCAAAAGTTTGGGGTGTGAAAGGACCATTTTGTGCAAAGCATGTATAAATGAAGATATATGACAGCCTTATACCTTAATTTGAAACACCAAGTTTATGTAGTTAGTATTACTCTAATAAACGCAGCGCAGAAACCATCTTTCTTCCATGTTACAGTGAAGACTTAAAAGTAGTAGTAAGCTCCGATATGGTGACTATTCCCGTATTTTATTTAAATTCGCTACCGCAACCACGTCAATGATCCATGACATGAAATAACAAAGCTCAAATTTAATATTATATACGCGTTTTTCCTTTCACTTTAATGAAAAATTCAGCGGTAGTTAGATCTAATGGCCGTTAAGACGGCAACAATAAATACCTTTAACGGCGTCCTTTCAACAAATGAATGTTTCACATTACTCCATACCCTTCCCAGGGGTTTATAATTTATAGCAAAATTGCTGCCGGAGAAAAGTTATTAAATCACATTAATAATGTTTTGTAATACATTTAATACCTTTAAAAGTGAAATGTTTAGTTGCTATGCCTGAAATGTTTCCAGTTGACCCTTAAAAATAATCTCGAGTAAAGACACGCACAAAGCTGTGGAAATGGATTTTCTAAGCCTTTTCATTTCGGGGCGATACAATTATTTGTGCACAGCTTAGAATAAGAAAAGCCCGCGGTTTTTTCATTACACTCCAACCATTTCGGTTAATCCGCACTAATTCTAATTAAACGGAAAGCCGAAAAAGGTATAAACTGCCCGTCAATTAATTACAATTACTAATTTGAAGTTACCGCCGGCGTGAGGTTTTTATTTAATAATTATAGAATTTATACCAGCTTTCTTTAAATTTGAATTAAAACGTGGAATAAATGGGCTTTGCTTTCCTCGTTGCTTTCAATGCCATAAACAAAAGAATACTTTTCCAATTCCCTTGTCCGCTGCTTTTGTACAAATTAAAAAGTTACTTTTATAAATCTATATCAAATATTGAATTTCAATTTACTTTGCCACGCTTTAACGCCAAATTTGTTCTACCAAATTATAGAATACAAAAAAAACCGCTTACAATAAATGCTTGGATGATTTAAAAAATATAGAATGCACAATAATTTGATTATCTCGCGCATTAACCATTCCTTTTAGTTAAAACGCTGCGAATTAGAGATTTTGATTGGTAAAAATTATACCTTTCGGTAGAGAAGGGAAGACAAGTATTAATAATGCAATTAATTAGAAACTGGAACTCGACTGTAATTTACGTAATACCGGATCTTATTTAGCATATGGACAACCCATTTCATCTACATCTTATGTTTTCTGTTACACTGCGTAACGACAATTTTGTCCTTAGTGTATAATAAACTACGATTTGCAAATAATACTGCAGCTAACAAAAATTTTACTTGAAAAGAGCAAAAAAAATGATGATGCACCAAACTGTATTACATCATCAGTACTTACACCATGTTTTTTAGTCTAGCACACAGAACACCTATCCAGCTACCTCAAGTCAAATAATTAACTACATTTAGAATCTTATTATTACTTTTCCTATACATACCCTGCATCCGAAACAAGGAAGAGTCTTGACTTAAAATTAGCTCAGATGAAAAATTTTGATAATCACCGAACATAATTCCGGTACCAAAAAGTTATTATCATGAAAACTCTCATTGGAGTCCCACTTTGGGTTCGATTAAACACACATATAAATACTTGATTGACAAAGACAAAAATTTATTCAGTGAAACATCAAAAAAATTAAACACATGCTGGACAAAATAGGCTTTCAGAACCAAATTTACACATGCCACGCATGCAAGCGATCGATAGACAATTAATTAAAGGAATCTTTATTACTTACAGTTTTAAATAATCTAATAAACCGGTCGTTAACTGCGATTTTCTGACGGACAAAGAATTAAGCAAACACGCGATGACTACGCTTGGCTTCTAGAATGGTGGAGAGAAGAATATTACTCTAGCGAACACTTCGAGAACTTTGTATTGAACGACTGGATTGACTCACACTCAAACTATTATTTTTCCGGATGCGGATAAAGCACTAAAAACTTTTCACGAACCTGATTAATTAATTTAATGACGTCACACATTAAATCAACTAACATTCATTAATAAACAAACTTCACTATCAAAAACGCAAAAATGTTCTTATCGCAATGACCAGATAAACCTTTTAATACAACGCGCAAATACGACCAGATTTATCAATCGCCCCGTCTTTTACGATGTTCATTGTACTAGTTTTGCTTCGCCTCTTTGCCCTTTTATTTCAATTGAAACAAAAACATTTAATAAAGCACTCTCATAGTAAAAAAAATATCTAGACAAAATTCGAAAGTTCGAAAAATAGATGAAAACTGTTGTTTTCTTTAAAAGAGTTTAATTGTTGAACTAATTTAAATCAAGTGTGAGTGTATTACTAAAATTTCTGTTTTTTTTTCAGGCGTATTTCCTTGTTCTTCATGGATGTTGATGATAGAAGATTATTGTTAGCAATTTTTCTTAAAAACCTTTTATTGTAACCGAGATCCAATACTAACGCCACCTGGATTACAAAAATAAAATCTCTTTTTTTAGCCTCAAATAACATAACAAGTTGATTTTATCATAACAGCACGCTTAAAAGTTGGAAAATGTTATTTCTGATGATTAGAACTATTTCCATTCGTAGCTATTTATAAAGGGCAATAATAACAGAATCAGAATTAATCATTATAGTGTAACTTGTTGAATAAACTCACCTGTTTATTGTATCTGTCTTATCGGTAGATGTAGCAACATTGATACTCAAACCGGTCTCCGCAGTACCAGTGTCCGGCGCGGAATTGACATTATATGGACTAGTATCTTTAAACTCGAAATCTTCAACTGGGTCGTTATTCCCATGGCCAAGGCCTGAAGATCCCGAACTTCCGGAGAACGTTGATAAGCCTTTTCCGAGCAACTTTCCCACGCTGCCCAGCAGCGACGGTAGGAAAAGCGCCAGAAGTACGGATTTTATTAATTGAGCGCCGATGAATACGGGTAACAGCATTTTCTTCAACGCAAACGCCAAGAAACCCATACCGAATCCGGCCATAAAAGAACTTTTTCCAGCCTCCACAGCTAAAACGAGAGAATATTATAGACCTAATCATTCATTTATATCATGCAACTACAGTACCCTAACCTGAAAATGCCTTTCTAATGATGTACTTTAAGGAACCTTGTTCCAGTTTCACAAAACGAAGGTTTCAACGAACCTTATAATTAATTGCTCGTTAATAATTTGGTTATTAGTTATTCAGTATATCTCATATACGAAGACTTGTATGGCGATCACAGAAGGGCTGGTCTTGGGTGACCACGGAGAAGAGCCAAGATCTGTTTGCGTTGGCTACAGAATATACTCTCTAGCCTATTGGGTAGCCAGCGACCTTCCAATGTCTCGAGGAATGGTTTCGGTATTTAAAAAGAAATTCGGGTGGAGGTGGAAGAGCTAGAGAAAAACAACCCAAGAGCAAAGCATTAGAACTCCAGGATAACGGACATGTCGTTTTTTACCAAGTGACGAAAGTACTATCTGTTCACAAACCGGATTATCAGGTGATGTAGAATACCCTACAAGATAGGAGGAAGAAGATATTGTCTCCCCGTTTAGAAGGGGCGGAATAATTCGTATTATGCTACGCGAGACAGGTGTGGAAATCCTATTGTACCTACCACTATAATCCAAGGTTTTGTTCGATTTATTCAAGATGAGTGGACCCACTATTTGAAATTGTACGTTTAGATATAACCTGCTATGTTAATACAATTGTTTCCGAAAAGCCATGTTACGAATACAACCTTCAATCATGCATTATAATTTTTGGTTCAATAATATCACAATAATATGTATCATATCGACACAAAAAAGAACTTTGCAAGGAATTGATACCGCCGTTGATCATTGATGTCAAACAAGCAAAATCGATTGCACCTTCATCCTATTTTCATTAATGAGAAACTAACTACAATTTACTAACAATTAAACTAGATCGAACCCCCTCAAGTACGTTAATCCATCTTCTCGAAGGTTTAACATTTATATCAATTAGACTAGCTTATACTGGACAAGAACGTAATGGAACGAAACGGGATTGAGTAATCTATTGCCTAATTACCTAATTCGCAGGGCTTTAAATTGTATGACACTTTTGCCCTCGACCCTTGTGCGAAATGATATTTTTTACGTCTGCCATTTCTATCGTTAACTGTTTGCGATCTTGAGGAAGTGAGCTTGTTATCGCACTCCTGTAAAAGCTTCGAGTTCAACCCTTTTTGACATTTTGTTAACTCGGCGTTTACGTAGATACTTTATTAAGTTCGCTGATCCTAAATAAGCATCAAATCCCAATCTCCAATCTTAATATCTACGTCAAAAAATTTAAAGCTTAAAATTTAATATTGCTATGATCCCTTGAAAGGCATTACTTTGCTAATCTCTGACAAAGTTCGGTAATTTCAAATACGCCTCAGTATTGAAGCGATTCCTTTTGAATTTTGTTCTCTTATATTCTTTGCGACGCTGAAAAATTTGAACAATATCGTTCAAAATTGAAAGAAAATACTTACGTTGGAAAAATCTCGCCGTTTCCGGTAAATTAACTCTAACATAGTGATTTAAAGCGTACTTTTCCAGTTTTGCTTTTAAATAATCGTCTATACTCCTCATCTCCCTGCTTCTCCGACAACTTTCCGACCGTAATTCATCTTGAGTCACGTTGAAGTTCCTTTTTATATCCACTCCGGGAAATATCTTATAACTGTCTGTTTTTACGAGATCGTCTACATAAGTCTTTAATTCTCTATCTAATGGACTAAGTTTGCTCATCTCGATGACGCACGTTTGTATGAGGTGTGGCAGATGAATGAGTATGAGTATCCGTATCATGCACCAGCTTCGGATATGTTTCCACAGTGAGCCCATTTTTCGGCGTCAACATCATACGATTACCTGAAAATGAGAATTTATATTAAATAAGGGGATACAAATCGATTTTATGAAATTCTTGAGTGCGGGGACACAAAACTACTTCACGCCTGAGTAGGCACAAAAGCTTCAGGGGAGAAATAAATCCTTGCAGCCAAACTAAAGTGGGTCTAATGTAATTTTTAAGCGCTGTTCATGTTTAGGGATTCGCATTTGTAAAATTGTGCGACACTAAATCTAAGGGAAGTCTGCAGCTTCAAAACATATTTTGTAGGAAGGTTTCGAGGCGTTTTGGACTTCACTCATCTATTCTATTTATGAAGTTCATATCTCGTAATAGTCAGGTGGAAGACAAAAACTGAGAACTTCGATTTCTAACCGATTGATCATCCTGAAGCATCTGTCATTTACAGATTTGATTTATACGACACACGCGAAATTGTTTCGAAACGCTCGGATGGCGAATGATTGAAGCATTTCAATACAGAATGTAATATAGGTAACTCAAAAGGTATATTACATCATAAGGTTGTAATAGTGCGGTAATTCTACGAACCTGTAATACGCAAACTAAACCGAATTAGGTACCTAACTTTTTCTACGACCTCCCTAAATTTCCAAATGAAAATAAGGCAAAACCCAAAACGACGTCTGTTGACAGTTTTACATTTGTAGAAAATCATCACTTCCAAACGTACATGATCTATTCTAATTTTTTTCATTACGCACCGGTGTAGGTAATCGATTCTATATCATGAGCGATTACACGTTATCACCTCATTTTCAGGGAGGTCGTACATGTTCGTAATGGGTTTGCACTGTTTTGCATAATTGTTCGTATCAATTGCAGCGTTTACATCCCCATCACCATAGCAATAAAAAGAACATTAACGAGTTTTGAAAAATCGTGATTTTGTAAATGTCTTCTGTTACAGTTTCCGGTGTACTATGTCACAACCTAACTGTGGAAGGTTCTTTGTTTTATAATTAGTTGGATTAAGTATTGTACTACCTAAGATATGGGGTTAAGAACAACAAAATAAGCAATTTTTATTTATTTTTATTCAACATACTCAAATCAACAATTTAGCAAAGTTTGAATCTAATTGATTCAGACATTGTCGGGGAGCCACTGACCTTCTTTTAGTACGTGGTAGTTTGATTTCGCCATATTTTATTAGGTACTTTTAGGATTCAAAAAATAAAAAATTCAAAAGTGGCACTTGGCGAGTGCTGATAAGACTGACTACTTCTTTCTTTCTCACAATCCTTCCCCACTTCCTTTTGCCGCGATATAATATCATAGAAAAGATAGTTCGATCTCGGGGGGTTCGAACCCTGACTCCACATCTGCGTAGATACCCTCTTCATCCAACTCGTCGACTCTTGGTATGTTCGTGAAATTGATGCCTTCGCAGTAGTGTTTGAACGTTGAAGAGCGCCTCATGTCAATTTTCACACAAGAACACGAACCAGGGCAATCCTTTTTGCACTTGCAGGAAAGATCCTTCAGATGAAGCGAAGGAGCTGGCTCCTATATCATGAAGATGGGATGTAAGCCCTGATCCGTGGCTGTCCATTCCCAAACTGTTTGACCCATGTTGAAGCCAAGCTTGTGTACCTGATGGTATGAACGAAAGAATGATAATTGGTCGCATTTTTCCCCAGATAACATTGGATACTCTTAGAATATACTTTTAACATGTTAAAAAGTATGTAAATATTCCACATATCCCCATAATGTTCTGTGAATGTATACGTTCGTCTGGCATATTTCAAGGATATTCAGCAGTGAATATACTGAAAACACACAATTAATATATTCCTTAATTTGTTGGTATTCTCAAGGCCGGTTCTATAATTAGACCTATTCCCAGAATAAGATATTCTTAGAATAACTGCGATAGCGACATGTATCCTATTTGTTCACGCAATTGTAAACAACGCAACCATCGACGTTTATTCTAGGTATAGCTTTTTCTCGGTATATACCTGCATGGTAGAATGAACCCTAAGTAGATTTAATACATTTTTTGAATATTCTTGGTAAATTACAGAAATATTCAATGTTATTTGGGTCGTGGGTGGAAGTCATGCTAGATTGATTAGTATTTATAGAACTCTTTCCAAAGTCGCATTATGTGCGAGGGTTGTTGAGCATCTCCTCCGTAGAGGGCTATTATATAGTGGACTCGCCTGTTCTATCCACGTTCTCATGGCTTGCGTCCGTCTCTACGAACACACTTCGAAGTCTTGCATGAAATCCGGATTTTATGATAAGGCGGAGCAAAATTTCCCCTTCAAAAAAACTGCAGATGTTTTGTCACAGCCTTTTAAGGCATGCAACACCAACACAAGTCTACGAGGGAGGTCCCCAATTTTTACGGAGAAGTAGGAATACTGTGCATCCGTGTATTCTCCTTTGCCCTTTTGTGAAGGTAAACATTGGTTTCCGTTACTGAGGACCCATTTAGGGTTCCTAGCAAGTTAACGTTTTCACCTACGATGAAAACTCGGGGAAAGTCGTGACACTTGGAAATTGCAGTGTTAACAATGAGGACGTCGGAGCCTTGTTGGTCTTCCATTGTTGAAATACCCTGCCGCTCGAATTCTGCAATCATCATTTTGATGAGACGATGCTTGTTTGTTTCGTGGGATAAGAACTTTTCCTACGGTGTTTTGGTTTCTCATAGAAGTGTGAGTGCAGCATGGTATAAAGTATAAGAAAAGGGAAAATTTTTACTTTTTTTGGAACATTTGTCTATACAGAGCTGTTGTATCTCTGGAACTAATTAGATTACAGAGCCCGCACATAGCTCGTCTCTTATTTAAGTTGGATGCGCTATGGCGTTAGTTAAATGGGTCACAGAAAACAGCGTCAGATTGAGTCGAGATTACCTTCGTTAGATGCGCCCTTCAACAACTTGAATTTTGACACCTATTTTTAAGACGTCTAGAAAGGACGTAAATATTTAAAAACGGTTTTAATTTTCAAGCGTTGTTGGTCAAACTTGGCGTGTTCAAGTCCGATATTCCCTCCAGAATTCAGGGAAAAGTATATAATGGGCGAGCGCTTTTTACTATTTCTGGTGAGCATACGTAAACTGCGGAATGCTCAGTTTCTTATATAAGGGAATATTTATGATTCAATTTATTTTCGCTTTTACACAGGAATAGACTGTTATATGATTTTTTTGGAAGTACTCGTCAATGGAAGTTGCGCTAGTTACTCGCTCTAAGGCGAAAACCGTTGTTTCATTTTTGTGAAATTCTACCGAAAGATTCTTCTAGTAGAGGCATATCGCATATTTTAAACATTATGTGTGCGCATGCATATAAAGACATTAATGCCATAACTTATTTTCCTTTGTACCCATAAACAGCCCGTTACGTGGCTTTTCGGGAAGTACTGGTTAATTCATGGAAAATGCGCTAAAATTTCTCGCCTTAACACGAAAGCCTTTTCTCATTTTTTTTATTAGCCGCATTCAATTAGGAATTCATAGAGTGTACTATTTAACTGCTTTATTTTACTAGGACCCACTATGCGCGCGACCTCAAATGTTCATCGCAAGAAAGTGGAGGCAGAAGTTAAAAAGAAATTGTTTTAAATAGAAGAGACGGACGTAAATCGCTCCTTCTTTGGTAATGAACGTTAATAGTTGCTCTTTGGTTAAGGTTTTTTTTTTGGTTTGGTGGACGTTTAAATGCCGTCGTATTTGAGCGTATTTGAAAAGCCAGTCGGTCTTGTTTAATTGTAAAGTTTTGCAGACGAAAGTTAGTGGTGCGTTAAAAGGTTTGTCTAATGCGTACGTTGTTTAAAGTGAGTGTTTTACAAAATTGTATATTGTAGGCAATTTTATTGCATATCATATAACCCATACATGGGATTTTTAGTTAACTAACTGTCTAGCTCCCACCCTCCTTATGATTCTTTCTCAAAAACGGCGATTAGATTTCACATAAGCTAAATGAGAGAAGTCTGCCTTTTAGAGAACAGTAACTGATAAGAGGTAGATCTGTTGTTTACTGCAGAAATGTATGATTTAAGAACAAATCACGGTCTTTAGCTTGAGTGTTCTGAAGAAAACGCGATGTTGACACTCATCCAATAAAATGCACTTCTACAAAATGGTTCACTCCAGTTAAGCTTCTCAAATCGTCCTTTAAGTTGCTTTCGTTCATTTTAAATATTGTAATGCAAAAGTATTGTAATTTTCAGATCGCAATCGGTCAGCACCAATTTTTTTATTGCTGTATACACAAACGTACCAGTGACTATAAAAATAGTAGCATGTGCGTGTGTCCTACTAAAACGTGCGTTAAATTGATCAATTATCGAAACGTTTTTCAAACGCGCAGAACTGCTAATTAACCGTTCGTTGTTTAGATACCCCCAATTAAATTAGAAAAACGAGCGTTAAACAACTAATTTAACGAGCCGTGTTTTGCGCATTTGTGAGCTGCAACGTGTAAACTGAATGTGACATCTGCTATGTTTGTGTACGAGAAGCTCCCTTGCATAGAATTTTGAAGTGACACACTTCTGGCCCATTTGAATAGTGCTATTATGTAGAAATCTATTCCAGGGTTTTTTCTTTTGTCTATGAAACCGTAATTACAACACTATTTCTACAGATACGCTTCCTGAGATGACTAGGTGAATCGAAAGGAAACTTCATCAATCACTGTGACTGTAGACTGTTTCTGATTAATGATCGCTATATCATATTTTGCTAATGTACCCATTTAGGAATAAAACTCGACAAAAGGTAAAGAACAAAGCAAGATGGATCACCTCCTCTCTTTGCTAATGGAGGAACTTTGCATCTTCTTTACAGGAGAAATTTACCTCACCGGTGCATGAGACAGGAAGTTTGTGAACATTTTACAATTTAAAACCATCCTGTGTTTTTAAAAGTTAGACATTTTAACGTTGTATGATGACAAGAAAAATTTTGGTGTTATTCTATGTTGATAGTTTTCTCCTGCCTATTGCGTCTTCAATCCTATCGAAAATAGAT